CTTCTCTCTTCTCTCTCTCTTCTCTCTTCTCTCTTCTCTCTTCTCTCTTCTTCTTCTTCTTCTCTCTCTCTCTCTCTCTCTCTCTCTCTCTCTCTCTCTCTCTCTCTCTCTCTCTCTCTTCTCTCTTCTCTCTTCTCTCTTCTCTCTTCAGCTGCCATACCATTTGTGCTTCGCTTCCTGCAATGCCTGCGCAAGTTCATAGGGTCGCGAGAGCGCTGGCACATTGTCAACGGTGGAAAGTACGCGCGCTACCCTCCGGTAGTGGCCCAATATATGAGGAGCTCACCTTGACCTTCATTTCTTCTCTCCTCCAACTCTCCCACCCAGATACCTGAGCTCCCTCGCTGTAATTATTTGTTCGTTCTTCCTCTACTTCTTTGGCCATCTGGCCTTGCTCGCTCCCTGGGTACGCGGCTCCCTTCCAGCCTTCTCCCCCTCCTGAGAACAATGCGGGGAATCTGGTGCTGTGCGTGTCACGGAAATGTATCAGAAATGTATTGGTGTAGTTGACTCTAGCCACGATGCTGTCCCGCATTGCAGATCGTCGCGGTCGTGGTGTCGGTGGGCTACAACTTCTATTTCGACGTGCGCTACGACTGGGGCCTGCTCGACGTGAAGTCCAGCAACTGGCTGCTCCGCAACAAGCTGATTTTTCCTCGCTGGGTACGTACCGCTGCCACTTCGGGCGTTTCCGGACGCATTCGCACCCCATGATGGCTCACACGTGTCGTGACCGCAGTGGTACTACGTGGCCATAGCGCTCAACCTGCTGGGTCGCTGCTCGTGGGCGCTCACCGTCTCGGCATCCTTCTTCCCCACCACCAACATGATCTTTTCAACCATCATCGCCACGGTACGGCCGCGCGTGTCTCCATCTCTGGGCCTATCTCTTGCTGGCTAACAGGGGATTTCTTCGTTCTTCGTTCTTCGTTCTTCGTTCTTCGTTCTTCGTTCTTCGTTCTTCGTTCTTCGTTCTTCGTTCTTCGTTCTTCGTTCTTCGTTCTTCGTTCTTCGTTCTTCGTTCTTCATTCATTATTTTTTTTTTGGACAGCTGGAAGTCCTGCGAAGGGGACTGGGCAACATTTTCCGCCTCGAAGACGAGCAACTGTCCTACACGGAAGTGCGCAGGGCGACGCGCGACGTCAAGGTAACCCTAACCTTTTGGCTCTCCGGCCTCCCGACCCGCCTTCTTCGCTGTGTAGCAGCGCTAACTGTGGGCTATATCACTCAAAGCTGCCGTTGTCTGTGGGCAACAACGAGCAACTTGAGCTGTTGTTCCAGGACGAAACCGATGATCTCTAACCAGAGCGGCCACTTAGCAAGAATGCTTCACGCAGAAGCAAGGCAAAGGATAGCGAAGTGGCGAGGCCTACTTGTGAAAAAGCCTGTTGGCGTGTTTTTAACCCTAACCCTTGCAAGGTTTGTTTGTTCGTTTCGCACCAATGAAGCGCAAGCGTGACGACGAGCTCCGTCCAACGCGCCAGCTGCGCTGGCCCCGATCCACCCTCGCCCTCGACGGCACCGTGCGCCTCCGTTGCCGACGCCCTGGGACCCTCCCTCCACCGTAGAGGTCGCCGCCATCGCCGCCGCACACATGATCGGGTCTCACTTCTGGTTGATGAAGTCACACCAACTTGGAGGTGAGGTTCTGCTGGAAGCGCTGTGCGTACACGGACGGCTCGACCGCAGAGAGCTGGTTCTGGCACCATCGCACACGCACACGCACCACATAAGAGTTAAGCTTCGTCTGACGAATCTGAAGAAGATCTCGGATGGTTAGTACCTGAGCAAGGACGCCTTGATCTTGGCCTCGCACACCTTGCGCAAGGTCCAAACTACACCAGCGATAAGATCTTCACTCGGAAGTGGGAGGTCGATAGGCCATCTGTATTGAGGCACAAATAATCATACAACCAATTGGCCGCTCTGACCAAAGCCATCGATGCAATCATCGTCCCAGTGGGTGCGCCACAACTGCGCCTTGACCGTACCTACGCCGATCCAGGTGGCTGGGTGCATCCTGGCCACAACTGTACCACCGCAATGATCTACACACTACAGCGCTACATCCTCTGAGTTAACCTTGTTGTAGAGCAAGACACAAATCGGCGTTGCGCTGGCCAGGCCCACTTGGGAGCAGAATGGCGAGCACAGCAGGAGCATCATCACGCACCAACTTTCCACTGTGCTGCCAGAGGTGCTTAGATCCATCATGGAAGGAAGAGGAAGAAGAGGATTCTGGAATGAAGCTGGACCTGGACAACCTGGAGAGGTACCATGTGGAGTCCTTCCACCTGTGGGAGGCATCTGCAGAGCAGAGGAGGCCAGAACAAGCATGACCTCATCCAATCCATCACCAACCACTTCACCGCCAAGAAGAAGAAGTGACCACCCATCCATCCCTTCATCCATCCACCCATCCATTGGATCATCATCATGCAAAACTCTCACCACTGCTCAGATGGATGTTGTTGCAGACATGGTGGTGTCAGTAGTGTGTTCCTCAACGTCGGCGCCATCATCATCATCATCGTCTGCATGTTGCTCGTACTTGAACTCATCCGTGGGCGTGAGCGCACCAGTCTCCAGGCTGAGGACGTACTTCTCGCTCCCGTCCTCCGTCCACAGGTGCACATTACGCCCATGTCCTGTCTGCAGAATACACTGCACCACCGTCACCGTCACCGTCACCGTCACAGTAAAGAGGAAGAGGAAGAGGAAGAGGAAGAGAAGAGGGTACTTGTTTCTCGAGTCCGTTGGGCCGCGACAGCGTGCCTTCGCCCTCGGAAGTGAAGCAGGAGCTGGAGCTGTACAAGTCACCGAGCCACCGTGAGCCATCTGGAAGTGTGAACGAGCTCTGGGGTGGTTGCCATGGAGGCGTTGGTTTATGGTTAGGGTTGGTGGCGCACACATTTGTACACACCACACACACAAGTGCCGGCAGAACAGCTCAGCGTGTGCACCTGGTAGCCTCTCATCATGTGGAGCTTGAAGAAACCCTTAAACTGCAGGCCACTGAGCCACTCCCTCTTTCCCAAGCTGAGTGGGAACGCATCGCGACCAAAAGTTCTATCACGACGCTCACACAGTCACAGTTGGCACATGTCGCCTTTGAACACATCTCATCTCAAAGGAAAGGGGGGAGGTCACGTACCCCTGATGGACGTGTTGATTGTGGGCGCCCTTCCAACCGGTGTACTTGACTCCAGTTGTGGCGACTCCTTTGTAGATGAACCCCTCGATGAGACTTGGCCGATCTGCGAAGAAACAGACATAGCTGCGGCCATTACAGGTCTTTGTATGAGCACACTCCCGCCACCACCTCCACCTCCGCCTCCGCCTCCGCCTTCGCCTCCACCCATGGTCATGCAGGCGAGCACACACGACGCTATGAGGAGGGCATAGAGCTGGGTGGCGCACCATCCCAAGCCAGTGAAGGTGGGCGAATAGAGCTTGAGGAGGAAGAGCGGGCTGTATCGCTCCCTGGCGGCCCACGCCTCCTTGAAGGTGAGTTTGGGATGGCGCGGTTCGATGTCCCACCGATGAACCCCGTTCTCGTCCTTCCACTCCACGAACTCATGTCCACCGTGGTTCCGCAGATATTGATGATGTCCCACGCCACTAACACAACACACAACAGGCGCCTGTTGGAGATGGAGTTCATCATGGGACCCAGGGTGAAGGTGGAGTACATCTCGGGCTCGTCCAGCATCATCAGGACGCCCGGATCGGTGTGACACTGGTCACACAAGCCATAGAAGAAGCCACGTCCGAGACAGGTCGGGCAATACCACCTACGCGCCACACCACCACCACCCCTCGCTTTGCTGAGACCACCCAGCCTCATGAACATTTCCCACCCGTCCACATACACAAGGAGGAGCAAGGAATGCACCTCACCGGGTGCTCGTGGCACCACGCGCACTGCTGGTTGTCGACCACCAGCTGCATGGTGTGCGTGTCATTGTGTCCTCTTGAGTCCTCTTCTTGCTGCTGCGGGTTGGGTTCATCACCCTCTTCTCTTTCCACCTCTACGTCTGCCTGTCCACCATCTTGTCCCTCTTCTTCCTCCTCCTCTTCTTTGTCTTCTGCGTAAAAGTCGTCGTAGTTTAAGGCGTTGACCGTGAAGAAGACGGACTCGCCCTTGCCTCGACACGACACGCACACGACATCGTGGTCGGGGCAGTCGACACAGCGCCACCAGGGCGTGGCCTGCACGTTCCTGCACTTGGTGCACACGACCGGGTTGAGGTCGCCCCAGCGATCGGGCACCTGTTGCACCACAAACACCTTCGAGCGCACCACGTCCATCACCCCTCTCGGCCCGCCCTCCAAAATATCCTTCGGCCACATCACATACTTTCTGCATGTGTGTGTGTGTGTGTGTGTGTTGCACTCTCGTTAACATCCCGCGCATGTGCACCACAACACACAGCACACAACATGCAACACGCAACACCACACACACATGCACACATACTGTTGAAGGAGTTTGACAAGAGGTTGGGCGTGGCGGTGATAGGCCGACTTGAGATAGGGGATGACGGTCTCGTGGAGGCGGCGCCAGAGGAAGGGCTCCCAGAACTCGCGGGCGGTGGTGGCATAGTCGTGGGCGGCGCGACACAGGAGCATGAGCTCGAGGGCCTGCTCGAACGAGTCGAACGCGTGAGGCAGCACGAACTGGATCAACACCTCTCGCGGCACCAGCGGCAACTGCCCCTGGCGGACTTCTTCGCCTGCGGTAGTGGTCATCGTCGTCATGTGCCCGAGGGGGGAGGAGAAAAGAAGACGTTCGTGTTGTCGTGCTTTGCTGAAGACGACAAAAAGAAATGCCGAAGAAAACCGCCCATTGGTTTGATAATCCCCGCTCCGCGCCGGTGGCTGTTCTGGTGCAGTCTGAGCTTGCGCGTTTGCTTGCCAGGTCCTATGCTGGTCTAACGAGAGGGTGTTCGGCGGAAGGGAGTGGGCTGCACCAGATGCCGTGCCCTGGCCTAGTGCTCGCGCGTCAAGAACCTCATCCTCAGCCACATCTTGCCTGAGTTTGACGACAAGACCCTGCTCGAGGACGCCGCGGGCCTCGTCTCCCTCGTCGTATCAAGCCACTTGGCGGGCACGCTTTCTTCTTCTATGCTCAAGAACAGGAGGAGTCGTGAGCACCGTAAGAGGGCGTTAGTTTGCTCTGTGGCGGATCTGCTGCGCGATGTGGTGTGGAGTGTACCGAGATAGAGTGCCATTAATGTTGGGGTTGCCTCCCTTCAACTTCTTGGTTTTCTGAGAAGCGTGGTCGTGGTGTTCGAACCCGATGTCGAGCTTGTGCCTGCGCAAGACAGGTGAGGTTTGGTGGTGATGCACAGCGCTCCCCTCCCTCGACACATCCACGGGTCATCTCCGCAGGGCGTGGAACAGCATCATGCCTCGACGCAAGAACAACCCCGATGTTGTGCCGAAGGGCCAGTTGGGCTATGACTGGGTCCATGTGCCAAGGATCGGGGACGTGGCCGATTACGAGCCCGCTCTACGTGTGCCGAGGACTCGATTACGTACCCGTGTCCCTGGCCGAAGTTGCCGTCTGCACTCTCGTGCCTGGAGAGCAGGGCGAACAAGTCGTGCGAGAGGTGTCTCCCATAAAGCAGGAGCAGCAGGGCTGATCATTCACGCTCCTTTCCCAAAAAGATGTGGAAAGATGCACGAATTCCCCGGGCCCACCTGCAACCTGCAGGCGCAGCCAGAAAACAACTTCTGGCCCCAGCCAGCCGGCGGTGAGCCGCTCCTCGAGGCACGGCGTCCAGGTTCTTCGAATTTGGTCTCGTCTTCCTCTTGCCCCTCTTCTTGTCGCCAAGAAAAAGGAGAGATTGTCATTGGTTCGGAAAGAAAGAAGAATCTCCTGTCTTTATTGGAAATGGTTGGGACGGTAAAGCTTGGAGCGCCAAGCCAGTCCGTCAGCTGATCATGCCTCCTTGCCTCCAAACGATTCTCGTGCTTGCCTTCGTGGTCTTGTTGCGCTCGTCCCCTTCAGATGCTGTGTTCCAGCCCCAGGCGCAGGCGGCCTGTCCGGCTCTCACTTGGAAGCTTCCCCGTACGTCTTCCCCGTGAAAAGCTTGCATGACCTGCTTGGCAAGCCACACTGCCCTCTTACCTTACCAAACTGGCGATGCTCAGTGAGTTGGGAGGGCGGCGGCAGGATTGAGCAGACATTCAATGCCACAGCTTGTGACCGCCTCGTCATCCGTAACAACGGCTACGACTGCGAGCCCTCACAGCCCTGGCGCCAGTGCACCAGTGACGAACAGTGCCCCTCGGGTGAGCTATGCGGAAAGGCCATGGCGCCGCGGTTGTGCGTCAAGTGCAACATGGACAAGATCGCCTTTACGTTCTACGAGCATGCCAACATCTCCATCAACGTGACCGCGAGCATGCTGGCCGGCAACTTCTGGAGCAGCGACGAGTTCTACAACCACACGGGCGTTGATCTCATTCTCACACTGTACGCAACTCTGAGCATCTGACAGTTACTGTTGTATTCTCTTCCTCCACATGTGGCGCTGACACAATCTCACCACAGGGAAAGCTGGGCGTGGAGTCCAGCCATGAACGCCTTGCTCCATGATCAAGTCGTGCACCGTCGTTCAACTTGGCAAGACAAGTACGACAGCGATGACCTCCGGACCCTTTCAGAGATCTATGACCAGGCCAACGCGACGCACACTCGCCAGCGGAGGGTCTCAGTTGTCAGGAGCGCGTACGACCGCCTGGACCACGGCACGAACATTCTCGACACATTCTCAGGGACCACCTACCTGCCGACGGCCTGAGGGAGCAACGCGACTGACCTCAACCTCTGTGTCTTGTCCCCCCCAGTTTAATTGGCCATTTTCTGCTTCGCACCGTGAACGGCCCGACCGAGCAAGCCTTTGGGGTCGCCCACGTCTTGTTCGCGGCGGCGTCGGCATCTGCCGGGTAGCGCTCTTTGGTGGTGGATTCACCTCGACCGAACGGGCCGCGTCGACCTTTATGATGCCTCGACCGGCCGGTGGAGCAACTCGGTCCGACGCAAATGTGCTAACTAATGATGACATGGCTTGGCGTCTTTTTCCTCCTCTTCTTCCTCATAATCTTCATCTTCTTCATCTCCATCATCGGGCGGCGTTCCCTACGCCCAGAGCGAGAGACGCCGGAGCGGCAGCTGGATCCGCCCCCGGCGCCTCAAGTTCAAGAAGGCCAGCGGCGTCAGCAAAGGGAAGGGCGACTCGGTCGAGTTGAGCGGCGGCAGCACTGCACTCAACTCCAGCTACCCGACGCCCACACCGTCGGGACAGTATTTTCGAAACACAATATTCCTGCTATTTCCTTTGCCCGCAGCGACCCAAGGAAAACACGTGAGATTTATTTTCCTTAGCTACTAAAGGAAAACACATTTCCTATCTTTTCCTTGGCGACCTGCGACCTGCGACCAGCGAATGCGACTTCGAGTTCGCCCAGCGACCAAAAAGAAAACAAATTCCATTTCTTTTCCTTTTGCGACCTGCGACTGCGACCTGCGACCTGACTTGGCAACCTGCGACTGTAGGAAAACTACGCCAAGAGATGGCGGCGTGACGAGGGTAGGCTGGAAGAGTTGGCAGGTGTCAAGGACGGGAGGGCAAGTTGAGTCGGCTAGACAACCAGGCGAGTCAAGCTTGCGTCAGACAAGTTTGAGTGGATGGCGGACAAAGGTACTATTTTCGTAACGGTTGTAGGCATCAATATTGTTACACTTCTATCTTGTCGAGGGCGGAGTTGAGGTAGGCCATGATCTCGTCCATCGAGGGGCGCTTTCGGGGGGAGGCGTCCCAGCACCGCTGCATCAGCTGGGCGAACTGCTTGTCGGTATCGGGAGGGATGGGGGGCCGTTGGCCCTGGATGACGTCCACCGCCACGCAGACTGCGTTCTTTTCGTGGTAGGGCGCGCGCCTGGTGAGCACTTCCCACATGACGATACCGAACGAGTACACGTCGACCGACTCGTCGTACTTGGCCCCTCCGGGCGGCGGAGACAAGATCTCCGGCGCCGTCCAGGAGGGCGTGCCGCAGCGGGTCATGGTGGCGTTGTCCTGCTTGGCCGTGGCGAACCCGAAGTCGCCCACCTTGACGCCCCAGTTCTCGTCGACGAGCAGGTTGTGGGACTTGAGGTCGCGGTGGATCACCCCGAGGGAGTGGAGGTAGTTGATGCCCAGAGCGGCGTCCCGGAGCATTGACAGGCGCTTCGGCCAGGACAGCTTGAGGGACCTGTCGGCGAGGACGTAGTGCAAGCTTCCCCTCTCCACGAGTTCCATGACTAGGATCAGGTTGCCTTCGCTGAGCGAGAGCCCGATGAGTTGCACGATGTTGGGATGCACCAGATCGGAAAGGATGGCGGCCTCACGGCGTAGCATGAGCATCCCGCGGTCGTCCAGACGTGAGTTGAAGAGGCGCTTGACAGCGACGGGCTTGCCGTTGTAGGTGCCCCTGTAGACCCGCCCGTAGTTGCCCTCGCCCAGCGATTCGCCCAGGCTGATGCGGCGGCTGTCGACGATCCAAGGGCAGCAGTTGGAGGAGCACAGGCCCATCTCCTTGTCCCTGCTGTCCGCGGAGTAGTCCTTCGTCTTCTTCTCAAGAGCTGACTCCTCTG